GTACCGAGAATTCATGTTCAAGTATGCTACATTGTAAAGCTTTTAACTTCTCCATCAAGTAACCATTTTCCTTGTTCCAATGCTCAAATTGAAGAGAATGTTTATACTACAACTTTGTCAATGAGGGTTGATCTCCAAAAAAATGCATAGATTTTAATATATGAATTGAGGATTTCATACACCCCAAGGTTCCTTACAAAGATTTCAAACACTTTAAGGTATTTATCACTCGAGTAAATCCTATTGCAAACTATCAACACAAGATCACCGATTCTATCATCCAATTCATGCTACTTCCTTAAAAAAATTTCAACCACTCTAAGGTTCCTTGAAAATATTTCAAACACTCCAAGGGATTTTTCACATGGACGATCATTCACACGATCTTGCACGAAAACCCCCCAATTTAACAAATGATGTTGGAGGACAAACCTGATGGTTTTTCCGGATAAAGACCCCTACAAGAACTCAACCCAAACCAATTGGAAATCTACAATTCTTTGTCTAGATGGCACCCCGACAGAACATCACCACAATATAATGTTGGTATGTATGCATAGATTGGAAGGTTGAAGATGAAGAGAAAAAGTAAAATAATTTTATGGTATCATCCAGTTGTGAATGATGCATGAATGGGTATATATAGTTATGGGACAATTAGGGTAATAAGGGAAAATTTGGAATCAAAAAGAAATTAAAATATGACATAATCAAACAGGATGTGTTGACCTCAAACTCATATGTGTCGACATACTTTATGTTTAAGTCGTATGTGTCGACCTAAAATAATGCCATGTGTCCACCTGAACAACTCATAGGCTACAGGCTTAAATACACTAGTAAATGCGCCGACCTAAAAAATGTATGTGTCAACACATGAAATGGAAATTTCTGCAATTTCAGAATTCTTTCAATATGTGTCGACATGTATGGATGCATGTATCGACATGAGACTTACAGAAGCTATAGGCTTTAAAAATGAGTTACATGTGTCGACCTGAAACTCAAATGTGTCGACACATGCAACAAAATACTATGCAAAAATGGTTTTTCAATGATTTAGATCAATTTAAATATGATTTTTGATGATTCCTAAGACCTATAATGTAGAGGAGTGCAACAAGACATAGGGAAACCATATACTTCACAAAAGTTCATCTTGTCCCAGTTTTGACATCACAAAAAATACTTTGAAGTGAAGTTGTACTCACAAAAATTCTGAAGCATTTATTTATGTCCAAAGTACCAAAGTTGTAAGGCATTTTTGAGCAAGATCCCATCTAATTCAATGAAAATGGTCAACATGAAAGTTGTATCATATGTTTAAGCTTTCCAAAAAGTCAAAGAACACAAATTTATCATGCTTGAGCTAGGAGAATCAAAGAGATGAAGTTGGATGTCCAATGTTGCATTAGAGGTCCATTTTGTGACAAGTTCTTGATCAAATCTCCAAACCATACAATGTAAAATTTATTTTCATTCAAATTAACCTCTAAATATATCCATAATTATAAGATTACACAAATTTTTGAACCATTATCCAATTGTTTAAAGCTTTGTCCAAACCATTTTGCCATTTAGAGCAAAAAAGCACCATTGCCATTTTGGAAAAGTATAATTTTTGCACAAAGTCCATGCATTGAGCTTTGAGTGGTTCCCTATGCCCACACTCAACACCAACATCATAAGAAACACCTCCAAAAGATGTCAACCACTCTAGAGGAGTTGTACTTCGCATTGGAACCATGGTCTTGCAAGAAACTTCATGTTGCATTCCAACCAAACCCTAAAAAACCTTAAGTTTCAAATTGTTCAGCCTCAAACCCTAATGCTCTCCTATAAATAGAGGTCGATTATAACTTGAAAAAAAGACATGTAACTCACACAAAACCTCTCAAATCTCTCTCAAACTTAGAATTTCAAAATTCCAAACTCCATTGAAATTGAAAGTCTATTTATTCGAGTTTCACAATCCTTGCAATATCCATGCAAGTTAACCATCCATATAACTTCTATAACTCATATAGAAATTATTCAAACCCTCATTACACCACTGAAACACCTGCATCACATTACCTAACTCTCATTTTTATTGCTTGCAACAATTGAGGAAGTTTCAAAGCATCCTATCCATTACAACACACTACTGGTTTTGATGTTAGTGTGCATTTATCTTTGATTGTAAGCTTATAAAATTAATAATATTGTGATCCTCTTTGAATTTTGAGCAAGTTTGATGTTTACTTTGTTCAAAATGATTGAGAAATGAGAGAGATACAAATTCATCAATGTTGTGGTTTGAAAACATCTCAAGGTTGAAGATGATGAGGTGACACATTTTTGTTTTGAATTTATAGAAATCATTTTATGTTATTATTATTTGTTTTTATGTTAGCTATTAGATATATCACCACCCGAGTGGTTTGAGTGTGCATGCAAAGGCTTTGTGTTACCTCAAGGGCGCAGGTTCGAGCCAATGTGAACCCCATTTTTGCATTTTTTTTCTCCAATTTTTTGTTTTGTTATACGTTCAATACTTGTTTTCACATATTATGTTGTGTTGGTGTTTAATATCACAACTAAGTGCATAGCTCAGTGGGTAGATTTTTAACATATGACCTTGAGGGTGTTGGTTCAAACCCTTTGGACAACCACCCTTCTTTTTTATCACTTCTGTATTTTTACTTTTTTCTTCAACTTTCATTTGATTTTTCTATATGAAAATAAACAATTATTATGTTTATTTTTTGTGTACTCCTAATTTATCACTCTTATTTTGTTAATATATAAATAAATCCCAAAAATATTATTTATTTCACCCTTTTTCATTTAATTCAAAACTAGTCCTTTTAATTTTTTTAAGGACTTTCTCTTTAGTTTCTTTGTTGATTCCTTGACTAAATCCACATTGGATGATCATAACATGTCTTGGGATGAATATTGTTTGATTCCATGTCTTTTTTGTATGCTTATAACATGTTCCCTTTGATTTTATTTAGGGTTTATCTTGACTTTTAATGCTTAAAACACAAACTTGTCTAAAAACCCTAATCATGCTCCATGACTCACAACATTTTGATTTCAATACACGTACTTGCGTGATGCTTGTTCGTTGCTTGATCAATGAATACTTTATGCACTATTTCCTTGAGTTTAACTTTTTCTTGATCATGTATACATGTATGCTCCTAACTTTGATACCATGGCTTTGTTTGGATTTTTAAACTTTGATGACTACTTTGTTTGAATTCTCTTGAAACTTGTGTGTTTATTTACATACCCATGATATCCATGTTTGATTTCCATGTCAAAGTATGTTTCCATTTTCTATCTTTTGTCATAACTTTTACTTAATAATCATGTTGATTTTCCCCTTTTGATGGATACTTGTTCATCTTTGATTCAAACTTTTTCTTAAATGACTCTCTTGAAGGCCATGTTACTTTATGATTTTGTACTCACCCTTGGTAATATATGTGATTTTTTCACCCTAAAATTTTCCCTCTTATTCTTTTTAACCTAATTGTTTTTTTTTCATTATCATACACATTCATGCATTGAGATGGAATCAAGGTGTTCTTGTCTTCATGGTTTTCTTCAAGCCTTAAAAGATTATTGAATTGTCAGTCAGTGAAAGGACGATCCAATATCCTCATTCTTATGATTACTCAAGCTACAAGGGTTCATCATGCCTCAAGATATCTTCTTTTGCTCACCATTTCATCAGATGATTGAAATTCACAAGAGTATTAGAAAGAATCAATTTCTCCTATCTTTTTGGTCTTTGGGGTGATTTTGTGATTACTTGAGTGTGTGACACATTCATGGATAACATATTTGAAGCATTATAATCTTATCATCATCCAAGACATTTTTTCTCAAGAGATTCCCCAAGTTGCCCATAGGAATTAGGGCTTTGAGGTTGTGCACTAATCTCTTATCATTTTTACTGAAAACTAGGGTTTTGGTCAAAGTCACTCTATCACTGAAATTTTGAGGAAAACTTGGTTCCATGGTATTCTACATGTTCCTAAGCATCTATAGATGTAACATTGACTCTCAATTTTTTCCAGAAGAAGCTCAATTGCTCAGTTGACTATGAATCAATTGAATTGGGGAAAAGTCAATTGTGTAAGCTAAAAGTCAACTCTTGACTTTTTATTGTCAAAATTGTGCTCTACAAGTCAAATTTGGTCTATGAGTGGAATTTGTTCAAGGAGAATCTAGAGAATCATTAAGAATCAAGAATGTGTCAAAATTGCCCAATTTGGAAAATTAGGGATTTGTAACTTACTATTTTTGGCAAGTTTAAAGGCATCGATCAGACAACTTCAAGGCCCTTTTTCATGAGGATTAATGCTTCAATTCCATTTTTGTTAAACACAAGAGTTGTTCCTCTTCTTCATATCTTTCTAACCATATAAGCTTCATCACAAATAGATCAAAATTGAATAAGTTATGGTGTTTTGAAGAGAAGCATTTCAAATGAGGTATTTTCAACAAAGTCCTTTTTTGAGCTCAAGATGCCAATCTTCGTGCTTATTTTTAGGACTCTTACAAGCATTGTTTCAAAATTCTTTCAACACCAATATCGTTCTACATAGGCCAAGCTTTCCCTAGAGTCCAAGATTATTACAAATGATTAAGAATTGAAAGAGAAATAGAGAAATGGTTGGGTCGGATTTCATGGTTGTATGTATATATCCAGTCTTGGTCATTTGGTAAACCTGTGCATAAATCGAAGAATTTGATACAAGTTTTTGGCTGATGTCACATTCACATGCCCCTAATTCTATTCCATTGCCTTATTTGGCTAAACAATGCACATATAATGCATGCATACGAAATGACCAAGTTTGCCAAAGTTGACAACTTTTCAAAAATCTTTCTTGATCTCCCCATGTGCTATTGGTGCCAGCTCACACTCTCACACTTATTTCACTCTCTTTACTCACACTAAAACGCGGTTGAGATCATCTTAAAATAACATAAAATGCAGCATGAACCACTCAAACTCCTCACATGGCATTTGTTGTGATTTCTCTTTTCTACCCTCAACCAAACTTTCTCTCCACTATACCTCATTCACCTCACTCTATTTAACATTCTCATCACCTCACAATCAAGAGATGTGCACTGGAGTGAGAGAAAGGAAATATGAAATCACCATCTTCATCAAGCAAATTTTCTATCGGGTTCCACCATTCTCCGAAGTGGACTTCCATTTATCACTTATTTCTTCATCTCTGAAGCTTGAAGATTATTATTCTCGGAGTTTCTTGATCTTTTTAGTTGAAAGAAGTAGTGGACGAATCATTCTCTTAGTAAGCTCCATGATCCTTTCTCTCATGCTCTCATCCATAGATTTAAATGCTTAGGATGAACATGATGATATGCATATAGTTGGCCCATACATTAGGTATGAAGTGGATAAATGTGTGCAAATAAGCTTGTATGCATTTCTAAAATTTCTAAAAAACATGTGAATTTGTGACCTTCGTGCTAATTTTTATCTATGAATATTTGCTTGTTTGAAGAAATTAACGATGCTATGATGATCTATGTTTAGAGTATTATAATTTTGGTGTTTGGATTTTTGAATTTCATGGAAAGATGAACAGAATATGATGATCTGAATAGGGAAGCTTGGTCACGGTTTTCTCTTAGAAATTTGACATGAAGAGAGGTTGACCCTATGATTGGTCAGTCTTCGCCTCTGACTTGTTGGCCGGGCCCCAGTGCCTGTGTGTCACACTCTTTTATATTTTCTTTTTATTTTGTTTTCTTTAATTTCCACTAATTTTTATCATTTTATTTTATTTTATTTTAACACTTTTATTAGTCCAAAAATTCTAAAAATTAGATAATACACTTTGATGAGTCTATTTTATTGCCATAATTTTTATTTTATTTTTAGAAAATTTGTGACACATTAAATAAACTAATTGTTTAAAGTGTCATTTCTTAGAAAATCTTTGTTTACTTTCTATCTTAATTTTATTGTTGACGATTTTTTAACCCAAAATTATGTTTTATGTTTTAATTAATTTTGCATGGTCCTGAACCAAATTTATTGATAACTTTTCTTTGATTTGAGAGTTGTTGAAGTTAAATGTCAATTATTATGATTTTTCTTACTTATGCTTTAAGATTGAATTTATTTTTCACTTACCTCTACTTCTAAAAATTCAAACGAACTTGTTTATGGTTCTTGAACATGTTAGCATCATGGAAATATATTTTAATTAATTTTATCCTCTGATTTTCTAATTTTTACAAAATGTTTGATTTAAGGTGTCTAGTTTAATGTATTTCTCAACTAGTCTTGACACTTGATGTTCGTTTTTACATTTCCTTTAATTTTCAAGAACCCTAAATGGTTTATTATGGTTTTTATAGGTCTTAGGGGTATGATATTAAGTTGGTTTTATTTTTAAGTTCCTTTTCCTATTTTTACTTGAATTAGTTTGTGAATGTGTACCATTGGTTTTGCTTGATTTTATTGAGCTTCATTTGGAAAATTATGAACTTATTTAGAAGCCAATTTTTGGACACATGATGATAATATGTTTTCCTTAAGATCACATCAACTTTTTATTAATTTTATTGATCATTTTTTAGTTGTTGATGATTATTTTCTTTGAGCCTTTGATTGTCCAAATTTAGAAACCCTACTTGCATTATGTTTGTGATTTTGGTTTGATCTTCTGGATTCCTTTGACACCAATTGCCATAGATTGAAGGATGACATTTTCAAAGATAGTTATTCAAAAACTTGAGAATAATTTGACTTCAATTGGTACTTCTGCCCTTCTTGACTTTCATTTGATCATATTTTGCTTATTTTGTTTGGTGCTTGAGACATGGGGAATGCACTTTGTGAAACCCATAAGGAACCAAGTTCCTCTCTCTTTATCTCATTATTAACACATGACAAGAGACTTGATTTAATCCTCATGAACCATTCGATTTATCTATCACTACTTCTTTGCTTGTGAACTTTAAAGTCTTTTATTCATATTTTGTGATCATGATTTAGGAGATTGTTTGGTGCATTCTTAATTGAGTATCATTGATCCAAAATGATTGAAATTTCTTAAGTATGCTTCTGACTTCTAAGGCCTTAGTTATTTAATTAATATCTCTTATGATTATTTGACTTGTATTCATTTTCAAGTTCACCTTGATGACTTTATAAGAACAACATTCTTCTCTTCTTGACTTAGTTTTGACTTGTGAATTGGCGAGGCTATTAGAGGATTATGATCTAACTTTGGGTGCTTGATCATTGATCATATATCATATTCTCTCATAACATCTATTATGATCCTTTGATTGTGTATTCACTTGTCAATCATAATGGTGACTCTTTAGGAGCTACATTCTCTTCTTTTACTTGAGCTTTTGAACTTATTACTTGATTATCTTTTATATGCTTTAAACTAAGTATTTGTTAGTGATAATTAGTGTTGTATACTTCCCATAACACTTAAGTACATCAATCTTTTCTTACTTTCACAAGTAATTAGTTTATTATGCTTGTTTCATCTTGTTTGAATACATACGTACTTGACTAGTTTTTGGGTTTTGCTTTAAAGCTTATCATTCCATCTTTCATTGTGGATTGTAATGGTTGAGTGATTATCATTATAGGACATTTGGTTTTAACTTGTATGGTTTGAAATACCTTTACCATGATCCCTCTTCACCTATACCTTTCTTGAAAGTTCACATGCCATTAGGAGAAGTTTAGAGTTTGGTTTTGGTCCTTACTTGCTTCAATCTTTGAGTATGATTTGCCATGATGCCTTTGTGATGTCTTAAGGTTGATTTTGTGTATTAACCACATGTATTAGCTTCTGAATTCATTGCTTTTTATTCCTAATGCTATTCTTATTTACTCACACACTTGTATTCACTTCACTTCACAACTTTGAATGATGCTTGTGTACTTTGGTGCTTGTACCATGGATTCAATGCCTAATTGATATTTTTCTTGATCATGGGACCTGCGCTAAATGAAAAACATGTATATGAATATCTCTATAGATTCCAATATCCCCTTTGTTTCAATTTTTTTTGATTGGTAGCATTGCATGAGGACTTATGTCCACTTAAGGTTATGTGGTTGCCTTTTCTTGTATGATTTGATTGTGATTCTTTCTCAAGCATTACTGTATGATGATGATGATTTCTTTATGTTTTCGCTTCTTAATTTTAAACTTATTCATATATTTCACTTCACTTCACCTCCCTATGCCATGATAAGTTAGGCACTTGACACATAAGTCTTCACTAGCTAGTGTGCTTACATGTGTGACTTCTCTTGTGACGTTTAAGTCCTTACCTCTTGTGCATGACCCTTAGGGGATACTTTGACATGTACTAATGTTTAGTTTGATACAATTTATCTTCCCTTTGTATATTTACTACTTGTGTTAGACTTAGTTCAATCCTTGCCACTTGTTTGAGTTTCATCTTCCTTCACCATGCATGCTTGTTTTAGTTAAGTGATGTTTGTTAACATGTGACTTCTTGGTGATAATTTTTTATGTCTTAAATCTCTTTCAGACTTAGGTATCAACCCTTACCTCTTATTTTCTTGATGCTTTTAACATTTTTTGAAGTTATGTATTCTAATTTCTTATTTGTACTTCTACTTTCCTAGTTAGGTGATTTCATCTTCTTCTTGACTTATCTTGCCTTGATTAGGGTAGAATTAGGATGATAACATGTTAGGGGAAGTAGCTTTGAGTTGTTTGATATACTTTCATAACATGCCTTTTTTGGTTGGTCGATCTTTCTTGTTTTCCTTTCTTCATTACTTGCTCAAGTACTTGTTTTCTTGCCTTCTGTATGTGATTCTTGTATGATCTTTCTCCCATCTCTGAAGCAAATTTGTATGAACCTCTTAAGGTATACTTTCTTACTTGTCGAGGTCTTTACCTTTCTTTCTTCACTTTATATTTTCTTTCTAATTTTTTATGCTTATTTGACACTTAAAGCCTTGAGTTCTTGTGTGTTTTTAGATTGCTTATGTTTAGTTTGTAATGCCTTAGGGTAGAACCATTTGAGCAGGACCCCTAGGGGATCCTAGTGTATGTGTTGAGTATTTACTAATGAAAATTCTTACTTAGTAATTGATGACTTGAGGCATGTTAAAGTTTAGCTTCTTGTTGGTTTGTACTTGATGATTTATGTTTGGTTCTTGCACTTAGGTGTTTGCTTGGCTCTTAAGCCATATCTTTTGAGGTTTATACTCATGTTTGTTTCTTTGTCATTTGCTTGTGATAACATGTTCCCTTAGGATTTTAGTTTCATCTTCTTTAAGATGTGAACTAAATATACCATAAGTTCTAAACTAAGCATTACAACATTAGGTAACTCCCATTAACCTTAACCTTAGGTCCATCTCTACATACTAACTTAGGTAGATGTTTCCCTTTTATCCTAACTTTAAGACCACCATTGCATGACAATATTAGGGCTCTAGTCTCCCTTAGACTTTTTCATTCCCCTTTTTCATCTTTAAAACTAAAACTTATTTTTCTTCTTAAACTTCTCAAAACACTCAAAAATAGAAATGCGATCCATGTGCCACGAGCCTTAAGAATTGGGGGGGGGGGGGTATGAGGGGTGCATTCCCGAACCTTGTGCTTCCTTTCGATCATAGTCTTTGAAATTCTGGTATGATAGAATTCATATGTCCTATGACATGTTGAGACATCTTATCCGACATAAACAAAAAAGCAAGGTATAAACATTAAAATAGTACTGAAAAGCATAAACAACACATAAGAATTGTTAACCCAGTTCGGAACAACCTTCCTACTCTGGGGGCTACCAAGCCAAGGATAAGTCTACTCAAATAGTATCAATTCATAGACCCTACAACAAACCTCTAGTTTACGCCCTAATTACTCAATCACTACCTTTGCTAGACTTCTATCTAAGACTCACCTAGATATGAGGCCCTCCCCAATCCCTCTTCAATTACAGATATCAATTGGACACAAATAGGAAGACACACTTCCATGACAACAAAACGGAAGACACACTTCCATAAAAATACTTAGCCAAGACTCATGACTAAGAACAAAACTTGGAGTTTCTTACAAGCTTCCTCCAATAACAATACTCATTCTTGCTTCACAACTTTGAGGAGAACACAATGACTATCTCACAACCCAAGTGGTTCACTTACACCAACTCTCTTAGAGAGTGGCTACAGACTCAACCCTAATGATTACATCTTTACTATTCTCAGATGGTACAAATCCTAGGCTACAAAGCTTTTATTTATAACCCATACCCAACTCGATTTGGGCCTTTAAAACACAACATATCAGTTGTAGAAAACAACAATAACTTCTACTAC